TTACCTCCAGAAGCACGAAGAACTGGTTTCACATGGAAAGAGAGCCAAAGCATCGTGGTAAACAGAACGAAGCTTACTCAAATTCTGAGCAGGATTTCATTAGTATCAGTATCTGTTCAGAGAATTGTTTAGCACTGGATGGACGTCCTCTAAGCTGCAGATCATGGGCAGGAGCTACACGCTCTCAGCACTAAGACCACCTGCACTGTAATACAGACCCTCTCTTTGTTCTCATTACAAACCTGTACTACAAACTCGGTGAGTGATCTCGACTATTACACGTGAAAATTTACGTGCAACAGGCAGGAACTAAAACGAGCGAAAGACTTTGTACAGTGCTGCTGAGAGTGACCGCACTCCTATTACCATATCTTTTGATCGAGCACAAAGCCACAAACCTGGATGAAGCAGAAGAGACAAACCAGTAATTATGGAATTCTTCACCCCTGTGAAGTTCACACAGGTCACATTCAGTGTTTATGAAATGGGCATTAGTAAAGAATGTTTAACTAGTGAATATTTACAAAACACAACAGCCACATTACAAATATTTTCACTGTGGAGCTGAGAAGAAGCTGACAAAGAACAGAAGCAGGGAACCCAGGGATTTAGGCAATTTAGCCCAGGAAACATGCTCACACTGCCTCTACCAACCGGTAACTGGGGGTGGCCATCATGGTGCTGTAAAACCTTATTTAACAGGTAAGTTTTAAGTACTCCAAAGACCAAAAAAAGCCACAACTTGCATTTCCCAGACCTTAGCTCTTGGCTTTCCTGTCTGCACCTTGCCAAAGGTCTCAGGCTAATGTTAGCAGTAAGTCTGGAAACTGCTAGCCCTAGTAAACAAGTAAAATCCACCAAGTTCATCTTGAAAAATATGAATTTTACACTCTGTTTTAAAGAAGCAACAGCATTTGTTATGGAAAGGGTTGCAAACCACCGACCTGCTCACAGCGAGCTGCAACACTGACAAAGTTCCATATACTCCTTCCACATCTAATGATAACCGAGAACATGATTTCCACACGTAAAGCTGTATCATTTGTTGATACAGCTTTATTATCTGCTGGAAAATCAAAATTTTTCATTGCCATTGTCTGTTTTCCCAAGCTGTAACAAACGAAAACGTACTAGCAGTGTTCACTCTGACTGCTGCTGCTCAGAGCCCGGGGGGACAGTGATGCTGAAGGACCAGGTCCCTCTGCTCGGCTCTCTGCAGCGCGTGGCCCTGTTACTGCCTGGCAAGCTGGTTCATTCCAGCGACTGCGAAAAAGCGCGCTCTCCCACGGACGGCTTGCCAAGCCTCTCTAAACCTCCCACACTCGCCTCCTGTGAACTGCAGTTCCACAAACACAGTGGCACGCTCGCTCCTTGGCCACTCAAACGTTATTAACTGTATTTTCACATTGCCAGTGGAATTCCTTAAAGTGCACATTTGGTTCTGATCAGTTTGCTGATGAAAAGGGTAAAAAGCGTGGCCAGCAGGTCAAGGCAGGGGATTCTCCCTCTGCTGCTCCGAGACCCCCCCCGCAGAGCTGTGTTCAGCTCTGGGGCTCCCAACAGCAGAAGGACATGGAGCTGTTGGAGCGAGTCCAGAGGAGGCCATGGAGATGCTCCGAGGGCCTCAGGGAGCCCCTCTGCCATGGGGGCAGTGTGAGAGAGTTGGGATGTTCTGCTGGAGGAGAGAAGGCTCCGAGGAGACCTTACAGCACCTTCAGGTGCCTAAGGTGGCGCTACAAGGAAGCTGGGGAGGACTTTTTACAAGGGCAGGGAGTGACAGGACAAGGGGGAACAGGTTTAAACTGAAAGCGGGAGATTGAGATGGGACATCAGGAAGGAATTCTTCCCACAGAGGGTGGGGAGGCACTGGGACAGGTTGCCCAGAGAAGCTGTGGATGCCCCATCCCTGGGAGTGTCCAAGGCCAGGCTGGATGAGGCTTGGAGCAACCTGGTCTAGAGGAAGGTGTCCCTGCCCATGGCAGGGGGTGGGCCAGGGGGGGCTTTAAGGTTCCTTCCAACCCAAACCACTCTGTGATTAGAACAGAATTACAGAATAAAATTCCATTCCCTCAAACTACTGTCTCAGCTAAACAGACTTTATGGCCTCTCAAGTGTGTAGAAGGTGTCCAGATGTTTGTGTACAGCCTTTTAGAGTGATCCATGACAGTACTCCCCAATTTATTTGGGGATATGGAGTGGGGGCGACCCCAAATGGGCAAACACCTTCCTTGACAACATCCTTCTGCCTTCTGGACTTTGGACGAAGAGGTCTAAGATCTCCCTCCGGAGTACATCAGTGACAAGCATGCAGCCACCAGACAGATAGGAGGAGCTGTGAGCTTCCAGAAACAAACGATTCAGCCCAATTCCTAGATAAGAAGAGGGGTTGCCTCTCTAGCAGTATTTGTGATGAAGAGAGACGATAGCTGTGCTCAGTTGTTTGCCTACCAAAACTCTCTCTTTTCATGGCCAGAAGGAAGAAAAGGAGGAATGCATCATCAAATGAAACAAAGCCGAAACTAGGACTTCAACTCCACATTACATCCCATGCATGCTCTCAGTAATTTGTCTGTGAGAAAAAAAAATATAGGATGAACAATTTTTCTACTTAGTAACACTAAGTCTACACTAGGATCAAGTTCCTGTTCTTGACCATTCCCATACCTCAGTATGAGCTTAGCCTTACTCAGATGAAAAGAAATCCAGCATTTGAAAGATTAAAGCACAAAATTATGTCAGTTCTAAACCTAACATTTCAGAAAAAAAACACTCTTACTTCACAGCTTGAAGGCGGTTAGGGAAACCCTATCAAGTAAGAATTACATCACAACATGAGACAGTGTTTGACTATTATAAACAGAGCGGTTTTCCCCTCCCCCCTCCACCACACTGACCAGAACTCAGTCTAAAATAACAGAAAGTCCTCATTTGCCTAGTGATGTTTTACGTAACAAATTCACAATTGCTTGGTGGCTGCCCAAGACCCACTGAACAACAACCAATATCTCAACACAAAAAGAAAACCCCGAGAGACGACAAGTCACATACTAAGTTCAGATATTATTCAAAACGATAATCACATTGGAAACCTTTTTAAACCCACCTCTCTACGAATTAAAGAGGCTTATACATTCCTACTTATTCTGCAATTCCATTCCAGAAGTAACGGTTACTGTGTGACAATGTCTTGCTGGAGACATTTCAAAAACCAAACTGAATTGCCACGCGCCTGCAAAGACACACACACCCCCCAAACCTCACCCGCTGGAGCTAACCAACAACACAACACCAAAAGACCCAGCAAAAACTGTCCACAGCATTTAACTTCTATTAAAACGTAATCTGGGCAAGCCTAAATACAAGGAGAAAAATTGGCAGTTTGCTACAGCCTCTACGCTGGAGATCACGCCGCTGTCATTACAAAAGGTGGGCTGCTCTTCCAAAATTTTTAGTCAAGAGAAAGCCAACTACTTATTCAAAATCAACCTGCATTGTCAAGGCGCTGGTAACTGCTCCGAGACGTACGGACCCAACTCTGAGTTCTGGAGCCCCAGAAGATGGGCCCAGGAAAACATGAGGCCATAAAGCTTTCTCTACCAGCAGGGGATCCATGCCAGTCAGTTCAGGCCTAGGATGAGCTTTCTTTGGAAACAAAGTCATAATATAAATAGTGTGTCTCCATGTCTGGAATATCCATTTTCTCTCTGATCACTAAAAAGTCTTCAGGAAAGGTAACAAACCATTCCACCCACTGAAAAACACTTAGATGAGGAAACGCCCGTTCATTTTTTTTAGGTTATCAATGTTGTACGAACACCCTCCCAAAATCCGCACATTTTTTTTTTTTTCAAACGTCACCTGCTAAGTGGTTTTTTTTTGTCTCTTGTGGCTTATAATGAAATACCTTCACTAATATTAAACATTAGAAACCCACGATTTTCTATTTTCCCCACAATCAGTAAGATGAAGAGAACGCTGACAGAGCTGGAAATATTAAACAAAAGAAATAAAAATTCAGAAAAATATTCCAACAAGGATTAATATTTAACAGGAGGAATGGACTGCTTTTCTTCAGCCTTGCCACAAAGTAAGCTAGCGCTAATCCATTAAGCATATTAGGAGTTTGGCGAATTAGACTTAGATTAACAGGGCTACCTCATTTTCCAAAACAAGATTTTGCACATGGTTTTATTACATGTTATGTTCTGGATAAACCAAAACCAAGTATTGCATCATATTTCTTTACCATGAAGCTACTTACACCCAAGATGTACCTAGTAACAATAATTCAGAGTAGGCAGATCTCGTTCAAAACAAAAAAGCAAATTTCATTAGATGCCAGAAAAATACTGCACAAATGATACTCCAAGAATCTTTATTTTGCCATGTTTGCCTGTAAAGGTACAATGTAAGTTTGAAAGAGAACTCCTCTATAACCTACAACCTGCTGTCTAAATGTCACAGAACACAGACAAACTGTACCCGCTCATTCAACATTTCTTTTACATAAGTGAACCACAAACTAATTGCTTTTTAGTTAATTTTAAAACCGAAACCACAATCTGACCAAAGAAACCCTCCTAACTGGGCGTGCAAAGGGTATCAACATGCTAGCATCTGTTGGCCAAGATGACTAGACAAGGAAGCAGAGTCAAGCCTTCGCAGCCTGGAGGGACTTGCGGCCTGCAAGCAGCGACACACAGTTCTGTGGAGGACAGCCCTTAGCTAAAATGAGGATTTAGACATTTTGAGGTGTGCATTCTTCACAAGCACAATATGTGAGCGGTCACCACTAGGTTTGCTGATTCAGGGCATCTCATATAGTTCCATTATTCCCGTCGAAGGTACCAGGAAGCATATTACAAGAGCACAGGCTGTCATACCACTGGTATTTAAAACAAAGGTGGTTTAAGCCCAATTTCATCACTTCTGGAATGGCAGGGGAAACCAAAAAAGCAAGAACAAAATCAAGAACGACTTCCTGGTAAAAGTGATCTTACCTATTCCGTAGGCTTTAGCACAGATCCATTGTAGATTAGCAGCTATTTTTGCTCGGGCTGAATCATAGAGCTCCAAAGGGACAATCTCAACTGCACTATCTGTCAGGGCATCCATTTTTCTTCTGGTGCTATCTCCACCCGCACAAACATCAACATCCACCATCTAAAACAAAAACAAAAGACAGAGGACTTGTACACAAGCCATGGCGTTTTTAAAACCGCGCTGGAGTTGGCTGGAGGGATCGCCCAGCGTTCTACCAGGCACAATACGGCGGGCCCAACAGCACAGGCCCGACATCCCTCAGGGTTTTTCCTCGGAAGGGCTTATTTAGCAATTAAAAATCCACTCGGAAATCAGAAGACATCCGAGCGCAGAGCGAGCATCCCTTCGGACGAACAACACGGATCTGCTCGCAGAAAGCCCTTTGCCAAGGAAACCAGCCG